CACACACACACCAATACCTTGAGGCCAGCGGTGTCTGGAGCCCCGCCCTGAGCTGGGCCAGCTGCTGCTTTGTGTCCACGTCTGCCATCTCTGCGTAGTCTGCCAGCCGGCTGATTGTCTGACGGCTTGTCTGAACAGGAAGTGTATGGCATTTATTGTAACGGAGCTTCATCAAAAAGATCAAATTCAAATCGTAAATCTCTGAAGGGGAAGTGTATGGCATTTATGGTAACTGAGCTTAACCCTATCCGTACATCGTGTTTTACTATCGAATCCATGCGTCGTGGGGAACTCTATGCCACCATTTTCTAAAGAGGAAATTTACTCTTTAATCCGATCTGTACGCTTTGGATAGCAGTCTGTCAAAATGGTTTTTGGAGAAATACTGAAAGTTGAAAAGAGATCTTCATACTGGAAGTATTTTAAAAAGGGACCATATTATCATATCATTTCTCTGACCTTTGAAATTCTCACCTTTGTCCTTCTCATCTGTATCATTTCTTTGACCTGTGATGAACTTCTCACATATTATTATATCATTCTCTGACCTTTGTTCGTCTCACCTGTATCATTTCCTTGGCTCTTTCTGCTGCGTCCTGCGCTTTTGACCGCTCCTCCTCCAGAGATTTTCTCTGGTCCAAGTTTTCCCTCTCCAGCTTTGCCTGCACGTGCCTGCAACACAGTTCACACAAACCTTGTCACTTCCTGAAAGCTTTCAGCTTGTGTTTGTTGGGGTTGGCTTCGTTTGTTTGTTTTTTTTAACCTAGCATAACACTTTGCCATCACAAGGCTCATATACTAAAAACCCTTGCCATCAAAGGCAAAGGCATTTTGGGAGGAATCCATAGAAACCAGTTGGTGAACATCGCAGATCAGCGAGATGTGACAGCGAAGGGTTAAAGACTGAATGAGCAAAGTGATTATTTTTTTAAAGAATAAAACCAAATGAATAACAAGATTTAAAAAAAAAAAAAGAAATACATGACAAACAAACAAAAGTTAAAGAAATATTTTCTAGGCGCAGGTTAAAAAAATGAGGTGATATTATAGTCTCTTGCTTAGACCGAAGCAGCTAGACAAAAGTTAAATCTCTCAGCCTATTAGAGAGGAGAAAGAGATTAATAGCAAAACGATAAAGAACTAAACAAAAATATGAATCTGTAAATATATAAATATATATTTCATAAGTACTTGATAAAAATAGTCAACATGAAAACTAAAAGATGAAGCTGAAGCAAATGATTTGACAATTAGGGGTTCTTTCAGCAACTGTAACAATGTGCTGAGACTAAAGGTTACACCAGCTTGGAGCTACTAACAAAAAATGTACCTCAAATCAACCAACCAAACTAGCCTGACTTCTCCTATGAACACCCGGCCCCCATTTCCCCTTCCCTTTCTCTCACCCCGTCCCCATCACCCC